TTAAAACCAAAAGGATTATTATCCACTACTTTTACCAGTTTAAATAGTGGAGTGGTGTCTAACGCAAACAGGGTTTGTTGAATTTTGATACAACTAGTGAACCATATTGAAAACTGCATTTCTTATTTTCCAACGCATGTGATTATTATATCAATTAATATTCTGGAAGAAATCGGAGTATTTGTCTCTAATCGATTTTTTAAATAAATTTATGTACAGGATGTCTCAAACTCGATAGCATGGATCTACTGTGATACAAAAAATTTAAATAAAATTTGGGACACATGGAATGAGGTAAGCTCAATTTGCAATCGAAAGTATTAACTTTGGGATTTGACAGAAACGACTAATGACATCATCAATTATATTTTTTCCAGAAACATACCCAATTTTTTTACTTTTAAAAAGCTCTCTTTTTTCTAATAAACTTTTATTAGAGAAATTTTTCGGTATTACGTCCTAAAGAGTCTGAAAAGAAATACCACCTAAAAATCACATTAGCGGTGGAAAGATCAAGTAGTCGTTAGAAAATAATGAACGTTCGTTGTTTAAAGTACATAAATGTCATTAAGAATAAATAAAAGGATTAAACTCGATAATTCTTTAATACAGTTAAAACAAAAGGTGACGATAACAAGCACTAAACTTAAAAAATGAGGCAAACGCTTTCATACTACATACTTTTACAATCTATTCTCTATATGACCTCCTCTCATTTCAAGACATATATCCAATATTCGCCTGACTTCTTTGTGAGCTGCGTTTATTAATATTTCGCCTTTTAACTCATTGCAAGCGTTTGTGATTTTTTCTTTCAAATTATTAATATCTCGCGAAGGTGTTTTGTAAACCTTATTTTTTAAAACCTCCTTTAAAAAAAATCGAGGAGGCCACTGAATCGGTCAATTAAGCCCATTCCATTTCTTGGGAAAGTGTTATCTAAATATTGCTGCACAATCCTGGCCTTGTGGGGTGGAGCCCCGTCGTGCTGAAACCATAGGTTTCTCCTTAGCTGTAAAGGCACATTCTCTGTAAGTGCAGGAAGTTCTTCTTGTAGGAAATTTAGGTAACTCACGCTGTTCATTGTATGTTCATATAAAGAAGGCCCAATTAAATGCCTACCGATGATGACTCATCATATATTTACTCCACAATGGCCTTAGTTTTCGACTTGATTTACAATGTAGGGATTTTCAATGGACCAGTAGTGTTCGTTGCGCCTGTTTGGCAAACCATTACTGACAAACCGACTTTTGTCCATCCAAAGAACGTGCCGATAAAGGTTCTAATCAACAGTTTCTACATTTACTACAATTTGGGCTATAAAATTAAATATGTTTTCAACGTGACGTTCAGACAAATCCTCCAAATTGGATACTTGTAGTCATGATACCCATTGGTCTTTAAAATTCGTTGAACGACTGATTTATCCAAATTCAATTCCCGGCTAGCCTGCCGTATAGAATTCCATGGATTTTGTTCGAAATACTGCAGCAGTCTAACTGTATTAACATTGTTTCTTACCCTTCCGTCAATTATTTGATTTTTCTGAACAGAAAATGCATCTTCAATTCGTCGCAAGGCCGCCTCCAATCTTGTAAAGATGCTATGATCAGGAATGAGGCGCTCTGGATACCTTTCTCGATATAACTTACAGCTCTTCTTGAATTTTTTTGTGACTCGCCGTAAATTAGCAACATACAACTTTTTCTGAATGAGAAAACATTTTGTAAGCACAAAAGTTATACGTTTGACGTTCGTATTGAGTAATGACAAGTATTTTGTGACATTTGTGCACTTTAAACAACGAACATTCAATTATTTTCCAACGACTACTTAATCCTTCTACCGCTAATGTGATTTTTAGGTGGTATTTCTTTTGGCACTCTTTAGGACAATATTGCTTATAACTTTTAAACGGGAAGTAATACAGAAAAATGTCTCTAATAAAAGTTTCTGGAAAAAATATAATTGATGACGTCATTAGTCGTTTTTGTGAAATCCCAAAGATAACACTTTCGATTGAAAATGGAGCTTACCTCATCCAATTTAACACCACGTGTCCCAAATTTTATTTAAATTTTTTGTATCCTCACAGTAGTCCCATGCTATATGTTTGAGACACCCTGTACAGTGTACAGCCAGAAATTCTTTCTAATTAAAATGCGACTGTAATGCAAAAGTATATTTTGTATTAACTGTAAAAAAACCTTCATTCTTTAAAACCCCGGCATTTATTTTGATACATATTTCGCTATTTATCTACAAAAAGGCTAGACGTGTATAAAGAGATTCTGAAGTATGTTCACACTTAGGTTATTATGCTGATGGTAGTTCAGGTTAGAATCATCTTTGTTTAGTCAGTTGTCTATTATTCAAGCCTGGGGGGCTCCTTGTTCAAGTAGCCGGATTCTGCTTATGTGATATACAGAGCCTTCATAAATGTTTACAAGCCACGTGTCCGCCGAGATTAGGGGGCTGGTACTGATAGCGCAAAATCCCTAAATCTTGGTGCCAACAATATTAATGATTCGTTTACAATGAACAATGACAAACCGTTATGTCTACATTTGAGATAATACGATCGCTGATCGGTTGAATAGAATCTCGTGAAAAAGTACACCAATCAGAGCCGACGAAACAGAATGTTGTGTTTTAATGTAATCTTGATCTTACTCTTTCAATAATTTTTTAATTTTATCGAAAAATTGCCACGTGAAGGAAAATTCAGCAGAAGTATCAAGTCCTTGATCAGGTCTGTACGTAATAGATACATATATTCTCTCCACAATCAAATTATCTAAATTATCTTTACAAATTACAATTATTCCATTAACAAATCATTTTCAGAACTTTTAAACCATGAAGGAAAGTACATGTTCTAAATAAATTTAGCGCAAATAAATTTATTTGTATGCACGTAGATATTGTTTATCAGACATAGAATTATTTAGGGTTATTATTATTACATGCAGTTTACATAGTAACAAGCGAAAAGTATCAGTGATTCAGCAACAGAAAAATGTTACGATGAATATTTATATTAACGAAACAGAGTTCTGGTAAAAATTAGATGAGGAGGTACAGAAAGTTTTATTAAGAAAAAGTTATTTAGAATCAAATGCAGTAATCAACATCATTAACATCAGCTCCTCCTTCTTTTAATCTTCTTCTTATTCTGTTAATATATATTCTTTTAATATATATACAGGTATATATAAGTAGCTTCAAATGATTAACTATTTTCTAAGCAAGCGGGTACTAAATCATTGTATTACACATACCATCCAATCGTGAAACATACAAACTATCCTAACATTATGTGTACATGGAAGTACCTACCATAGATTCTTGAATTCAAATTATTTAATTAAATTTACCTCTATCACTAGAGGGTGTCAAAATTAGCATACAATTTTTGTTTTTTTTTATGAAACCAAGCATATTCATCATTTGTCCTTTTCTAACCTTAGCTCTTGTCATTATAACCATTTCAGATCGATTGTCGATTATCTGATGATGATTATGTAAAGATCCAACGTCCGAAGTATATATTTACATAAATGGAAAAAATATTTTTTCCCCTTAACAAATATGCTAATTTTTGTTTACAGTTGACCTTTCGATTTTAGTTTCTTAAGCTTTTTTCTCGTAAATTTTTTGTGTTCCTAATGGTTTTAACGTAATTATTTCATTTTCGATACAAATCTAATTTAATTGCCATAAATTTGATTTATTTAGCAGTAAAAGCTAAATAACGCTTTGTGCATTTCAGTAACTTGTAATCGAATGAAATACATTAAATCTATTGGAAATTATATTTTTAATAACACATAATTCTGTAATAGACAATAATAATAGGTAGGTTGTGTAGGTAAAAAATTTGAATCCCTGCGATTATTTCTATTTAAGGGCCTTAGGTACATTGGACGAACTCGATAGAACACTACTGTTCATAATTTAGAGTATGGGGAAAATTTAAAATGAATACGTTTATTGTTATTTTTTATTTTGACTATATGTATTACTTGTATTGAAAATGGTGGTCGTCGACAAAAATTTTAGTTAAAGAATGATGATTTTATTATCGAATAAATCAAATTCTTTTCGATAAATAAATTGCATATGTATCGAAAATGCATTGGTCATAGCTAATTAAATAATGAGTATGTAAAACCCGTTAAAATAAAAAACAAAAAAATTGCAAGAGGAAAAACCTGAAGTTATCGGTAACCTGCAAAAATCTTAGATAATATTTTCTTAGTGGTGGTCACATTTTCCCACTTTTGTAAATGCAATTATTTCGCTTATTATCCTAAAAAGTGACAGCTATGCACAAGTAAAGTTTACACTTTAATGTTGGAGTTTTATAGACAACAAATCGCACTTTTAGTAAAACAATGATAGAACAAGTAGATCCATCCAAGAAGTAACCAAGCGTAACACTAAACTGAGCAACTTCCTTTAATGTTTCGCATTGAAAGATCGCGGAGAACATGTAAACATCAGAAAATGTACCTTTCCTGTTTTGTATAGTAGGTAAAGTAAAGATACACAATAATTGTGATTCAAGAATGTGCAATAGTTTCCTAAAAGCATTCTGTTATTTAATTCCTTTCATCGTAAAAAGTCAATTGACGCATAAATTTTAAATTTTTAGTTAATAGTTTCAGTATAAAAAAAAAGAAATTTAAAACAGATATTTTTTTGTACAATATCAGACAACCTCGTGCAATGTAATATAGCTATTTACAATGTATGAAATTATGTATTTTAATACAGATACGATAACGATAATTTTTTAATTAATCAAGTTATTTATATTTGATTAATGATGCAAGGCATGTATCGTTTGATAAAATATGTAAATATTTCCTCCCAAAATAATTAGATAATTTTTCCTGGTTTATATAAGGAAATCTAAATCTCTGTAATAATTAGCCTACATGAATTCATCCAAAAAAGCAATAATGCACAATATTCTAGGGAAAGGATATCAAATGGACGATAATATGAGTACAGTAGATAGAGCAGTTTTATGTTTAAGTGAAATTTTTGGTACTGCCATTTTGGTATTTTTGGGATGTCTGGGATGTGTAAATGGAATGATGGCGAGTTCAGCATCAGCTGAACAAATTTCTCTGACTTTTGGTTTAGCTATAATGATATCCGTTCAGGTAAATATTTAAAAAATGTGCATGTTTTGATTTTTTATTCAATTTTAGGAACAAGTAAGTAGAATATCAAAAAATAATGTTTGTTATAAATATATAGATACTACATTCAAAAATTTTTGGTATACAGGGTGTTAAATTTTTCTTAAAAAAATACCTTTTCTCGATTATTTTCTAAACGCACAATGTTCTATTCTTGAAATTTTTGAAGAATGTTTTTGACGATGACAATACAATTTTTAAATGTGTTTCAAATTGTTTATATTATTTCTATAGTAGAAATGGGAGGTGATAAAAAAAATCAGTTCGTATGGAAATACGAATATTTATTAATAACAATTTTTAATAAATAACAACTAAATTTAACAGAAATTTTAGGAGCGTCTCACTTAAGATATATTCCTCTATAACTTTAGAAATAATAAACTAAAATATTCCAGAATAAGTATCAATCCCAAAAAGTAACATATACCTTATGCATAACAAACCATAATAATTTTATATTAATCTATCTATTCCTAAAGATTAATTTAATAAAATCAAACCACCACCTTTTACAATTATTTAGGTGTTTGGTCACATTTCTGGGTGCCATATAAATCCTATAGTAACAGTTGCGGCAGCTACAATTGGAAATATTCCATTGATACAAGTACCTATATTTATTGTGGGCCAAATATTAGGTGGACTAGCTGGATTTGGATTAATTAAGGTAAATGACAGTAATTATTTTTAATTTCCCTGAAATAACTAATAGATATATTTAAACCAAAGATGCTGAAACAAATTAAAAAATATGCTTCTGGTTTTACCAACAGTTTGCATGTTTTTTTAACAGTGCTGTAATAACCAGAATATACCACAGAAATGTACCTACAACACTAACCTTAATTTTCAACATCTATTAATTAGGTAATTTAAAAAAATAAATAGGGGCTACACATTATTTGAAAATTCTTGTTTATATTTATATAACGTCCTATACATTTTATTTTGTTGGGTATTTATATAATTTTATAATAATTTATTTATGATAATTAATATAAATATTAATAATTTCCTTCATTAACTAAATTATGTATTTTCGTATCGTAAGTTATTTTGTTTAAAATAACTGTAGCTTCCCTTTATCAGCTGGCAAAATTTTAATATTATGATCATTTTTGATGAATGTATAGATTTTTTTTCGTCTAAAACTATTTTTGCAAAATAACCCAAGACTAATCATTTTGGCGCAAAGGTTTATTTCACTAATTTTTACATTTTTTCACAGGTGGCAAAATATCCAAAAAATAAAGAAAAAAAATGATGATTAATTATTATTAAATAACACTATTTACTTATAGCTACATTTTAAGGATAATTGCTTATAATTAGAAATACAAAATTGATATTTTTAGAAGGTTTGGATGATTTTAACTATTTACAATTTTTAGTGCTTTATAAGATAGCTTTAATTAAATTTTATGGAGACTACTATTGTGTGCATTTGAAACTGAATTTTGTAGGCTGTGACCCCTTCGGAAACATTGAAACCGAAACTTAATGAGACAGTTGGTCTGTGTTCACCAAATTTCCATGGAACCTTATCACCTCTACAAGCTCTAGTAGTAGAGTTCCTTTTGTCTTTAATATTGGTTTGGGTTTGCTGCTCCATATGGGATAGCAGAAATAGTGAAAAAAATGAATCTACTCCCATACGTCTTGGATTAACTATTGCTGGTTTGGCTATGGCAGGGGTAAGCATTTATATTTATAGTACTATTTTAGTAAGATTTTGATTATTTGGATAAATTTTACAACATAACTAATTCTGACTAATATTATACGCTACGAATAAATATTTATGACAATTCTAAGATAAACATATTTTTTACAAAACGATAATGTTGAATATTATTACAAAGCAATAAATCATTTTCAAATAAAATATTAATATCCTAGAAATATTGATAGCAACATTAGTGCCACTATAGTGTCATATCATTATAAATATAGGTATTTCTATGTTTCATACTAGGTACATCCATTAGCTTTCCTATTCGATTATTGATCATATATTGTAAAATTAAAAAAATTCTTATACATATTTCTACGTTAAAATATACACGACTACAGTTTCAAATTAATTTACAGATCAATAGAACTCTTAAAAGTAAATATCAGTTTGTCAACTTTTCCTTTTCCATGGCTTATAAAGTAGTGTCAACATGAAAAAAAAAATAAGTTTCAGTTTATGCCGAAATAACATAGGTACTCGTTTATTTTACACTTCAAATGACATTATGACACTCCACTGAAAATAATATATTTTTTGTCATGTTTTGAAATGCAAATTTTATTTAAAACATAAGCAAGGAAAACTGTAAAAAGAAGATATATTTTTTTTTGTTTTATTCAAAATAAAATTTACATTTAAAATACACGTCTATATTCAATTCAATATCTTCATTTGTTCATAAGATAAAGATATTAACGAAATAAAATTTCTTGTCATTTGTATATCCTCTTTTGCATTCAGAATCTAAGAGTTTCAATTAAATTTTGTGTTGAAATTTTCCAGTATCTCGAAAAGTACTTGCACATGGTACAAGACACACTTTATTCAAATTATTATCTTGAAAACCTGGAATATTTCACGTCTTTTTGGGTTTTAAGCCCGGTACATACATACCATTTTACCTTATGTCTTGCTTGTTCAGTTAAAACGGATCAAGTAAAACATCATGTATAGACCAAAAAACAGATGTTTTACTTGAACTGAATCGAGACGAACGACCGTCTAGAAAACTGATGGGCCACACTGAAAACTGTTGCTGAAAGGTACCGTGACGCATTTCTTGTGGATTTTCGATAGTCCAGTGACATTATTTGGCCGATAAAACGAGTTCAATCTATCATCTGTGTGTGAGATTTTAAGTTTATTATATTTTAATATATCAGACTTACGTCAGTGGTCTCATGACTTTTGTACGGAATTTACTGATTTATACCAAAGTTATTCTTGTCTATGACAAGTTAAATCAAGCGATTATAGTGATAGAGAAAAAAATGAAGTATATAGCGTTTTGGTCAAGAAGTGCCCTGTTTATCATAAAGAGTTGCAGAAAGTAAATAAATCGGCACGTTTTGGTGCGGGTACAGATGACAGCTATAAACCATGGTATTTTAAGCTGCTTTCCTTTCTCAATGATCAAGAAACTCCAAGGGAGTCTTCAGGTTCATGATGTAATTCTCGAAGAAAATTTACATGGGAGAACCTCCTTCTTTTTAATAACCACTCTCTTGACCATCGTGAACGCTGAATATTCCTTTTCTTTTTTTAAATTCGTTAAACACACATTATTGACAAATGATCAACCGTTAAAACCGTGTATATTGTATGCTGTAGTTTTCAGACCGACTTAACTGACCGTTTTAACTGACACCTGACACCTAAGTTAAAATGGTATGTATGTACCGGTCTTTACTCTTTTCGATTTTTTATTGACTTTTTAATTGTACGTAAAATTTTCAGTAAAAAGTGCAAACATTATAGATAAGATTCAATTAGCTACTACTTCCTAAGATACCTATTAATCTTTTTGTAATATATTTAACTTACGCAGGTAATAAAATAATATCTCTATTAAAATCACGGAAAAACTAATTTACTTGAAATAAAAATTATACACACACGAATTCCGAAATTTATTTTCGACATACGGACTTCGGACCTTTCGCATTCAATGCAGAACGGACAGCCAAAACCAAGGGTGTGGAAGAGATTCAACTATTTTTTTTATTCTATGATGTCACACATCCTTAGTCCCAATTTTTTTGCGACATGCAGAGTTCGGACCTTTTGCACTCGATCACCAATCAGAACCATGAAAAATCTTTTGATATATCGAGTCGTTTCCGAGCTACAAGCAAAAACTGTTTTTTTCTCTCATATGTTGTGACGCCCCGTCCTGCCTCGCCTATCGAGTGCTCTACTCAGGACCAGGAGGAGATTTTTTTATATTTCCAGCCATTTCTGAGTTAAGAGCAAGGTGTCTTGAAGATGCTGGGGAAGTCTCAGAGACACCTGAAGACAGCAGAGAGAGAGAAGCCCTCTACAATTACAGTGACTTCAGGCATACAAGATATACAATGACATTTCTAAATTTTGGTCGATTGAAGAGGTTTTTAATAAAAATAAAATTTCATCAGATGCTAGTTTTGAAAATATTACTAAGCGTGATACAAATAATGGACGTTTTATTGTTAATATACAATTTAAAGACTCGGTTAAAAGTCTAGGTAATTCAGGAAACAAGGCTCTTAAAATGTTTTACTCTATGGAAAGTAAACTAAATAATAACTTGGGCTTTACTGTCAGAATATATAAAATTTATGGAGAAATATAAAACTCTTGGACATATGTCAGAGATCACAGAAACGGATGAGACTAAAAATAAAGGATATTACATGCCACACAATGCGGTAATTAAAACGAATAACTACAATATGTAGAGTGGTTTTCAATGGCTCAAGTAAAACAGACACAGGATTAAGTTTGAATGAAACAAAGTTTATCGGTCCAGCTCTGCAAAATGAAATATTTGTTATTATATTTAAGATTTAGAAAATTTAAGTACATACCTATGTTAAAATTGTACTTAAATTCATTTATGAATGTCGGCATTGATTATGGCCCATTTATTCTTAAAGATAGAAAAGCACGCGGGGCAAAAATCATTAAGGGCTATATGTGTTTAATAATTTGTTTAGGCACAAGAGCGATACACTTAGAGTTAGTAACTGATCTCACCAAGGATGCTTCCTAGCCACGCTTAAAAGATTTATTAACAGAAGGGGCAAACCCAGTGGTATTTATTCTGACAATGGTTTAAATTTTGTCGGCGCGAATAATGAAATAAAAAGATTGTATGACTTTTTGAGTTCTGCAAATACCTATATCGCAAACAAATTAGTAGAACACAGGAGTATATGGGAAGACCGAATTAAGAGTTATAAATATTATCAATTAATTATCATATCAAAAGGGTTTTGAGAAATTCGCTTTTAACTTACGAGGAATTTTATACCTTGCTGACAGAAATTGAAGGTATTCTGAATTCACGCCCCCTCTGTCTCCTCCATAACAATTCTGACGATTTTACTGCATTGACCTCGGCACATTTCCTCATTGAAAGACCATTAACTGTTCTCCCTGAACGTGATGTACGACACGTTCCTGAAAATAGCAAGTTTCAGAAGATGCTAGCTATAGCACAACAATTTTGCGTCTGTTGATGGAAGGAGTACCTAAACGAGTTGCAGACACGTGTAAAATGGCGTCAGCATCTAGTGAGGTGATTAAAATTGAAGCATTAGTCCTAATAAAAAAGGACAACTTACAATGACCCCTTGGTACAGTGATATCCATGTTTTCTGGAAACGACCATGTTGTAAGACTTGTAGAAGTGCGTGTACAGGGTGAAGTGCTCAAGCGCGCTATTACAAACGTGTTCGTCCTTCCAATTGACTAATAATTATCTTTTCTGAACCCTCTATAGTGATAAGGAAAGAGAGACGTAAACAAATAATGGTGATTGGCCTTTATAAAGAGTCAAGAACTCACTTTGCATTCTGTTTTTAATATTTTAGTGAAATAGTCATATAATCACGTTTATGTAAATATAAATTAATCTTGAATATTTTATAAGGTTTGTTATTTACCTACCTTATGTTAGAGCGTAAGATAATCCTGGCGTACACATCTTGCAAAAAACAAACTACCATTTACAGTACAATTTAAACTAGTATTTAGCGAAGTGTCTTTGTGTAGTGTAAGTGTGTAACCTTAGTTATTTATGTCAGTTTAGTAGAGTACAGTGTATTTCTGTGTTTTCATGTTCAAGTTTCTGTGTTGAAAAAACCCGTAGGTATACAAAGTTAAAAAAAGGTTGATATGGTTGGAGCTTGCTTTTAGTTAGGAAAAAACAACACTCCTTCAAGAACGTTATCAAATGGATTATTCAGACCAAATGTGCCAAATAAGGAAATGTTAGTAAGATGTGTTCAACATTTAAGAAGTGAGGGAGCTTTGAATATCAATACGCTAATGTTGGACGGGAACAAACTCAGAAAGTGAAATTAGAAATTTTAAACGCCGTGAAACCAGTTTTCGAAGGTTAGCCACAAGATTTCAGGTATATGGTATGCTGTAAAAATCATGTGAGTAAACAGATTATTTACTTATTTTGAGTATTTTATTGATTACTGTTTGAGTTTTCTTTTAGATTAATTGTTATTTACTGTTTCATAGTTTATCATAGGTATTTAAAAGAATTAAATTTTCATTTATATGAGATGATAGACCTCCTGGTGAACTCGACAAAACGAACGCGAACTCTCGACAAAAGTATTGCGCCAAAGAGCAGTACCTCACGGCAGATGATGTGAAATTTGCTTTTTAATAAACTTTCCTTTAAATTACGAGATTTGACAACAATGTATAGCCCAAGTCCCAATTATGCATGCGCTGCGACTAACGCGGGCCATTGCATTGTTTGAAGTCACACTAACTTGTCCAGCGGTAGGGTATACAAATTACATAACAAAGGTTAAGAAAGAATTAAGTTTTCACGACGGAATTTGAAATACTAAAAACTATTGATACGTATTTCTAGAGGTAAAAGGTAGCCCCCGTATAAACATGACTCTCATTCACAATTATACTCTATATATTTCATAGCTAGCCTAACAGATAACTTTACCTAAATAGCGTTGCTAAAAGTTAAAAAATAAATTAAAAAATGTATTATTTGGCATCTACTGACATTAACTTTTCCTTAAATTGAACTTGAACTAACATAAATATCACAGTAACAGTAACAGGATTATATGTATTTTTCAGGGTCCATACACAGGCGCACATATGAATCCGGCAAGAAGTTTTGCTCCAGCTGTCATAAACGGAGATTGGAATTATCATTGGGTAATAATTATATCCGACAATATTTATTTATAGCTGTTTTACATTGACAATTTATTGAGCAATTAATTCATGAAGTCGCTTCATCAAGAAATTGGACAATTGTAATGCACCAAATCTGCTGTCAAATAACTTCATGAATTTATTCAAGTTCTTGACGAATTAGATGTGATGTACTTTCGAGGTTCGGCCGCAGACGCCGAACTGGTACAGTCACAGTCCGGGTTCATTCGGTGGAGAAGTGTTTTCCAAGGTTCGGGAATATTACAAGACTTGGTATAAATAAAACTTTTATTTTCCAAAATAAATCGCAGTCTATAAACACATATAATATTAACAATAATGCCCCACCCATATAACTAACAGAAACATCGGGATACCTATTGTCACGAAGGCAATACGTATGTCTTGACGGTGACGACACCGAGTGTCGCGGAAAGACCTGCTAAACACCCGGAGTCGGCCACGAGGTAGACGTCAGGTACCGCGGAAAGACCTGCTAAGTACCCGGAGTCGGAGTCCAGGTGTGTCCCTTACCTTGAGCGCCGCGGAAGAGACCTGCTAAACGCTCTGGTTAGGACACCCAGAGGATGGTTGAGTGCCGTGGAAAGACATACTAAGCACTGCCTGGTGTAGGTGAGTTAGGTGACTCCGTTGCTTTTATAGAGAACGACTGGTAGTGCCGTGTGCAACTCCAGCCGTTGAAACAGCGACTTCGTGGGCCGTGTGCAAAATCGCGGTGCGCCAAACAATTATAATACAGCGGGAGCAAAATAAAATAAGTTCATTACTGAAAATATAAATAAAATCTGGAAATCCCGAAAATAAAAAAATGTTCATTACATAGAGCATGTTCTAATTTTCGTCAATTTCTTCGTGAAGTTCGGAAGTACCAACCCAACAGATTACCAGCCTCAGATCAGTAATGAGGTTATGTTATTGGAATACGTAAATAATTGTGTGGCGTCGTGCTAGTTTTGCATTGTTTTTACTGATTTGTTATTTACAAAAACTAATATTTATATAATATGTGTCAGAACGGTACCGCTGTTGTATCACTACAATTATGAGTGGAAAGGTGACATTTTTTAAATTTATTTGCTTCTTTGATTAATTGGTAGAACTGACTCATACGTCAAAAAACTTGACAAAGTCTGTAGCAGTGTAAAACCACACTGTTTACCAATAAATTCGTGAATTAATTAATGAAGAACTTCGTCAATTTATTGATGAATAAATTGTCAATGTAAAACAGCTATTATTGTTATTAAAACCTAGCAAGTAAATAAAGAGACTTAGTAATACGCAGGGCATTCGGATGCGAATTAACCACACTTTACCATAAGGGTAGCTTTCTATAATAAAAAAGAATTGATTGAAGTCGCTGTAGTATAATTTTCCTTCCTTAACAAGTTACTGTAATAAAAAATATATAAATCCTTTTTTCAAAATGATTTCAATAAAATTTGGTATATATCTACTATTATATGTATACTATTTTTTTTACTTAAAACAGAGATCGCTGAAAATACCTAAATCAGCCTTTTACTTTTTAGCATTTTCGTTGATAGATACGTGGTCTATGGTTAATCTAAATCAAAATTGTTTACTAAAGGTACAAATTTACCAATTACTAGATAGAGGCGTATGTGTATATCCATTTCTTGGATTATACACCCCTACGTGATAAGAGGGACGATATGTATATACACGGTGTCCCACCGGAAATCGCCACTATCGATATCTCGGAAAGTACTGATCCGATAAATCTGAAAATTTGACAACCTAGCAAACGCAGTAACGCCAACATAGCTTAGACAGACACAGATTTAGAATTTTATAGCACTTTCGGTTATTCTAGAAGCCGACATTAACTTTCTTATTTTAAATGGAACTCCCTATATATTAATTATAGCATTTTCGGATTCTACGTGAAATTTGAGGGTCACTTTATTAAATATTCCCTACGCGGTAGTAACTCTTTTCAGGAACGTGATATTGTTCATCATTGATACCTGTAAAGGGCATATGTACTAAATTATAGTATACCAACAAATTAAAACATTTAATACTATAGTACGATCATATTCGATGCAAAGTAATAAATCATTGCCTGTCAAGGGAACCAATGAAGTACGCCTTTAAGGGTTTTACAAATTAAATAATTTCTTTATACATTATGAAGGGACGAGGGGATCAGTTCAGGTCTGGCACCCTTGTTGCTACAAAAATTCCTTTATTCTCATAAACTATTTATTTTAAATGTAATTTATTATAAATCCAATTTGTTTCCTAAATTCCACATATGTACTACATTTTACCTCTGTACGCGCCACTGTTGTTTACTTGTTTTTTGGAAGCGCTCTCTAATTGACGGCAAAGCTCGCCAGGTTAGTATTTGACGTATAACCGTACACTCGATGCACTTGGGCGACTACAGCTACTACCAGAACACAATGCGTATGCAGCGGTATTTCAGATTTTACATTGAATTTCATTTTAAATTTGAAATGATTTATCTTACGCCTTCTAAAAATGATGACACGATTTTTCTTTGATAAAAGGCCGACAATTTTTTGCTCTACTTTGCATCGTATACGATCCTACTATAGGTGTTTCGTTTTTGCTATTACATTTTGATAACTTCAAACAGCTATAACTTTGTTAACTTAAATGAAACATCCTTTATTTTTTTTACTCTGTCGTATGCAGATTGAAATTTACTTTCAAGTCATATAAGCATTGTTAGAGTTGCCGTTACTACTTTTAGAGAGAGATATTTGCAATTTTCTATTTTTTGGACAGTTTTTCTCGTATCAGCCTGTTATGAAATTGTCCATGACCAGAAATACTCCAGAAACAATTAAAATAACTTGATATTTGTCATGCGTGGCTGGAACCCGGAAGGAACCTGCGAAAGGTAGATGGGGGGATACCGGACAGTATGTTCCCGACTGCAGATAGAGCAACAGGGTTGTTAACGTTCATGTTAATAAAGTAGTGTGTGGTTTAACAAGTGTTTATCTTAATTACGCTCCCGGCCCACCATCACATGGTATCAGATGTAAAATTGAAAGTGAAAAGAAAACGTGAATAACGCGGATTTGGAAAGAACTCTTAACTCCTGGTTCAGTCCCACGTGTCGGTAAAGTCTGTTATATTGCAAACATTAGACGTTTTGTATTGTGTAAAGACAAAAATTAGTGAAATATCGTTACCGTTACCGGGAGAAAAACTCAGGTCAACAGGAACAAAAAAAACGCACGTTCTAGAATTCCAAATCCAAACGTGTGAAGGTCGAGGAATAAGAAGAAGAAGAAGTGTTCTCGAGCTCAAGTTGTCGGGCGTCAAAGGTCAAGTGTGTCAAACAAAAACGAAAAATGGCGGCGGTAATGGAGGAACTTAAAAACAAAAACATTGAGTTGCAAAGGCAAATTGAATAAATCACTCAGGACGTTTGAAGATTCTTAGGAATAGTAAATTACTTAACAAAATTCATCCCCGGAATGTCAGAAAAAACTAAAATACTTAGAGATTTACTTAATAAAAACATTTTAGATGGCTGGCCGAAAGATCGTAAACAAATTGAAGGAAATATAAGACCGTATTTCAAGTACAGAACCGACTTATCCATACACAAAGAAGTAATCTTATACAAAGATAGACTAGTGATACCACCCGACGAGAGAAGAAACTGCCTGAGTGAAATACATGTAGGACATCAGGGAATCGCAGAATGTAAACGCAGAGCGAAACTGTCAGTATGGTGGCCAACAGTTAATTCAGGTATAGTGGACTAGTTACAAAATTGCGAACAATGCCTGAAACATCAAAAAGAACATTTCGAGCCTTTTCTTAATATTGATATCCCTCATCTCCCGTGGTACATGGTAGCAGCAGATTTGTGCGAATGAAATAAGAAAATTGTGCGAAATTGTGAATACTTGGTAGTTCAAGACTACTATAGTAAGTTTATAGAAGTAGTTGAACTGAAAACATCAACAACTATAATGAAATAATACATAAATTTACGAGATATTCTGCCCGTATGGGAGGAGAAATTAAAACCGAAACCACTAAATCACAACAAAATCTATCAGGCCATGAGAAGAGAAAAGGAAAGGCAAGGAACGGCATACAATAAAAACCATAGAGTAGAGAAATTGGAACCATTAAAATAAGGGGACTTAGTGTGGATCAAGGACGAAAAGCAAGAGGGTATTGTACAGGAAACTACCGAACATCCCCGTTCTTACATGGTGGGAACTAATAATAATAATAATAATAATAGGAGATGCATAAGAAGAAATTGAAAATTCCTTGTTAAACTACCTCCGGTCGTTCCCAAACAGATCCTTTGTAAGCCATCACCTCACATCTCATTTGATTTAAATGTTACAGCTATAGTAGCATATCGGTCCCAGACGAAGTCGCCAAGTCCTACAGGTCCAGAATCATTCCAGCAGACATCGGAGAGGGTCCCACTTCAAGGCCTAGAAGACGGAAGACAACATTCGGCACTAGAAGTACCGACGACGGTGGAATCCAGTTGTATCCCAAGTAGGCATCACAGGAGCATACATCTCCCAGTCAAATTTAGGGACTATACTATACATGTAACATACTTAAAAAAAAAAGGGGGAAATGTCATGCGTGGCTGGAACCCGGAAGGAACCGGCAAGAGGTAGACGGGGGGATACCGGACAGTATGTTCCCGATTGCAGATAGAGCAACAAGGTTGTTAACGTTCATGTTAATAAAGTAGTGTGTGGTTTGACAAGTGTTTATCTTAATTACGCTCCAGGCCCACCATCACAGTATTTGCCAAGTTAGTTATCAAATTATTGTTGTCTGTAATGGTTTTAAAAAAATAAATAAATAAAAATGCTTGGGGATCGTTTAAATTATACTAATGAGAATTATTTTAACTTGTTTGTTTGTTACTCGGCCACATGTTGCAATACCAGTGAAAACCTACTTGGAAACACCTAAATGGGAAATCCTACTTCACTCGCCATATTCACCAGACATTGCCACTTCCGATTATCACTTGTTCCAATCGATGGCACGTGGCCTGGCTGAGCAGCACTTCCATCCTTATGAAGATGGCAAAAAATGGGTCGACTCTTGGATAACCACAAAAAACGTGTCGTTTTTCCGACGTGGAATTAAAATGCTGCCAGGAAGATGGGAAAAAGTAGGGGCTAGCGATGGACAATACTTTCAGTGACATATTTATGCATTTTTTTTTAAATAAAGTATTAATTTTCACGAAAAAACAGCGAGCGACATATTGAACATTCAATTATATTATTTTATGGAAACGAATTTTTTCCTAAATTATTTTGGACTATGTCCTCTTGACGAGCCACTATTTCATATAATATTTTACGCACTTGGTACTTGAGATTAAGTTTAAGCTTAATATAACATTTTCACGTGAAGACTCTGATACATACTTCCATTTTACACATTGGTACGAGAATTTTCAAGTACTTATGAAAACGTAATTGAGTGTGATACAGACTAAAACCTATACAACTTTTAATACATCAGTTTATTAAGAGTTGCCTATAGTACAATAATGAACACAAACAATTTTTATACTTGAATGAAAAGTATTGTTTTAGTTTTAATTGCTAATTTCAAAGAAGTAAATATACATCTTATCCCTAAAAATTAAATTTGATGCTCCTATAAAAAATTATGTGGTACCTACCTACAATTTAGTCCTTCGGTATAAAGTAATTCATAATGAACTGTACATACTGTAATCATACAGTGGAGCGACCGATGCGAATATACTACATACTTAAAAAGTTTCTTTGTCAGGAATTGTGGATACCTATACAGAGCGGTGTTTTAATTTTTCGCTAATTTTGAAAATATATTTTAAATCACTTGTGAAAATTGATTTATTTTTGGTATATTCTGCTGAAGGATAAGCAAAATATATATAAAAAAAAACTCATTGGTAAAAATTATTTCCACAAACAAAAAAGTTATTAAACATCATAAAAAAAAACAACCAAACAAACGAAGAACCTCCTCTATCTTTTAAATAAATCGAGATGTGCGTTGCAGTTTTCAGGTTCAATTTTTCTGGAAAATCGAGCTCATTGTTTTCCTAATGCTTTATTGCTCTCACCACCGAATATTTTTTTAAATGTTCGTCGGCCACTTTACGTTTGACGAGCGCTAATAAGTAATTTATTGTTTTAGGTCTACTGGGTTGGTCCACTTGGTGCGGGATTTTTTGGAGCACTTTTCTACAAGTTAGTTTTCTCTAAAGATACAACAGGAACTAATGAAACATATCCAGAAACATCTGTGGAAAAAACCTAAATTATAGAAACGTAAAATTCATTTTTTTTTCTTTTTCGCGTGAAGAAAGAAAACTAAAAATATACAAATTCAATGACCCAATAGCACACCCAGAGGAGATGACATGGGGCATTCAACCATTCAACTATATAAATAAATTTAAGTAACAAAATTTTGTATGGTGCCAAAGAAAAAAATTTTAAATTACAATTATCAAATAACTTCAATAATGTAATACGTCATTCTTACGTGGCTTTCTAAGTTTTTCAGTAAGAATAACTTTTTACCTACCCAAAAGTAAATGAGATAAAGACCACTACGGAGAATGAAAATGAAATGAAAAAAAATGTAAATGTATCATCGAGAAGGCTTCAATTAAATCGATTTCATTAACGTTTTTGTCAATAAGTTAATGCTGAAGTATCGGAAATATTTAAAAGTGTTTTTTAGCAACATGAAGCTTACTGAAAGGGAAAGAATAAAAATTCAAATAATGATTGGTTATGAAAACAAAACCAGGATTCAGAGATACTAAAATACTTCAACCGAGAACCAATTTGTCGATCTACAATAAACAAAATTACAAAGAAGTTTAGTTAAACGGGTCATGTAAAGGACCCCCCTAAAGGTAGTAGAAAACATATAGGTACTCGAAAATAAGAAATCAGATGTTCTACTAACATTTCAAGAAAATTCCCATACCATCCCACTAAACACGAAACGTAAATGAAACGTTGCAAATGAACTGTTTTACTAAACATTTTACACATAACTAGAAACGTTTCTGTTTCATTACAGATATGTAGCACTTGAAAACTTATTTAGTGAAACATAGCCGAAACGTTCCAATTGAAGAGAGTTTGAAACATTACTTGAAACATTCCCTATCGATCTCAGAAACATAACAGACGAACGACCCTTTGCTTTTTTTGCTTATCTTATGGAACATTCGGCATTAGTTAAATTCCCAATCCATCTCAAGCGTTAGTTCATTTGGCTTTGTTATACAAACAGACATAAACAGAAAAAAAATTGTGGTAGCATATTTATAACACAAGTCTAGAAAAAATGTATGTTCGTGACTTGCGCAGACTGCGCGTTAACAGCCCGAGTTTATTTGTTTCCCGTGTGTCGTTTTCAATTCGTATTATGTTAGATTAGGTTTGCGGTTTGCCAGTTGGCCTAGCTTAGTTGCCTATTTTATGTGATAATTTGTAGTGTATGCAGTTGTAGTTATTGTAAGGTGCATATAAAATAATGAATATTGATGCAAAATGTTTAAAACGATATGTGTAGAGATTTCCAATTTTGCGTCACATCTACCTACACATAGTTATACCCACCACCTATTATAGACAAGAGGACAAGAACTAAGAAAATGGAACATGGAACTATACCTACGTTTTGATATAATTTGAAGAGCAACTACTTAGTCAGTGAGAATAACTATTTGAAATATAGATGAATAAAGTGAAATAGACGTCATTTATTTTATATTTTGTACAAATTTGTTTATGTGTATAGGCATGCTTAAATAAAAGAGTTTAGGTATACCTACAGATATTTATTTTGTCAAGATATCATTTTGTGTCCTTATTTCTGCTATTGTTTTGTGACATTTTTATTTGTACGATGAATGGCAGAATTCGTAATCCATATTAAAAACTTTTCAGGGGCTTCTCAAAATAAAATTGTTGGTAAAAGTTGCCGCACCCCCAAGCTAGAAGAGCATATTTAATTTTTTTATTATACAATGTAACAACTTTTTTTAGTTACATTTTTTGAGAAATCAGAAAAACGTTGTCTGGAGTCATGCACAATACAAATAAAAATATCACAAAAGAGTATTAGAAATATTAAAAAAATTACTCACACTATTTATACTATTTCAAAAACGCTTTTGAAACGAAAATTATCTAAAGTTGAGAGCATTATGAGAACAATACCTATGGTAATAAAATTATTATGTTACTCAAACATTTCTGAAAATATACTGAAACGTAAAACAAAAATATCGAGTGCATAAATGGAACATAAAAAGAATGTTACTGAAACCAATTTTTTGAAACCTTTCAATGGAAACGTATTTTGGGGAGGACATCTTGGGTTTCTAGAACGTTACTAGAACTTTGCATGGATTTTTTATGGAACGTGAAAAATGTTTAGTGGGATACCACTTCACGGCAAGTAGATTAGATAATAACCTGGATCATTAAACAGTTCTTAAGATGACTAAAAAAGAAAGAGTGGCATTCTTACTAAGTTACCTTGGTTCACGAGCTTTTGATTACGATTTGCTCCCCGAACTGAATCAGTTATTTTCAACGTAAATGATTTGTGACTTCAGCAAGATGATGCACCTCCACACTATGCCGTATTGGTAAGAAACTACTTAGACAACGCCTTTTAAGATAGGCGGATAGGACGAAGAGGATTAATTGAATGACCACCTAGGTCTCCAGATTTAAATCCTCTAGATTTATTTTTATAGGGATAGGTACTTAAAAGGTAAAGTATAGCAAAATAGACAACAAAATTTAGATTCATTAAAGAACATATTCGGACGGAATATGGCATAAAAAACTCTGGAAATTATAGACAAAGTTCGATAGCTCATTTTCCTCATTGTATTATAACTGAGGTCGTCAATTCGCAAATTTATTGCAACTTTGTTGTTAAAAATTCATTTTTTGTTGTAATTTTAGAATTTTTTCTTTGACATATACAAAATTGTATTACCTAAGCTTGATATGGTTAAATGGAGAATTAGAAGCTATCGCATGACAAATATCTGGCAGAGCACACTTTTAGAAATAAAAATTGTTTCAGAATTTTTGTCCGAAGTCACCAATTTACGAAATAATGAATTCATTTATAATCTTTATTTGGGTTCACCCTTCAAAATACTTTTCTGGGTGCGCCATACGTCAATATAAATCGTCGAAACACACTTTTTTTGTTTTTAATACTTTATTTAGAAGATTTTTGCAACAATAGTAATATTTTAGTTTTTTTTTATGAAAAACTGTTATTTAATATGTATGTACCTATCTAAGTTATAAAAACATAATTGTATTATTATCTCAACTTTTTATTTATACTTATAAGTGTAGACAAAAATAAAAATACATAAATTGTAGTTATCAAAAGTTTTTTCACGGTGCGTTCAAAATGTGGATAGAATAGCAAGGCATACACACAGAATTTTGTCTGCGGAATTAACCATGCAGAAAAACCTTAGGGTTCGATCTATCATAATTTAAAACACATAAAATGTGCGTTAGTAAACTGGAAGTTTTGTAAAATTTTACAGTAGTACCTATCGTGATGAATGACATAAGTATGTAGTTTTGCGTGTTTCGTCGCATGCATCGGATGCTGTTCTGGTTTCAGCGTCCAATCCAGTAACTGCTTATGCCATAGTTATATGATAACATGCATTGGATGCATGAATCCATAGCACACACGAAATAATTTTTCACACAGGAAAAAAGCATGAAATATGAAGTAATTTAGAAGAAGAACTCAAAATAATACATTCCAGTTTAAACAGCACTATTTTTTATTAGGTAGTTGGTAAAATTAATTTGACAATTTATCTGTACCACATCTGCAGATTGAGAATACCACAATAATTCTTAAGATACAGTTTATTTCACAGCTTTTAACCATGACGATCTTAAATCTGCCGATATAAGTCAATGCATACACGATGTGGCTATTAAATTTTATTGTGACGAAGTGCGTGTCGCTATCTATGTGCGGTCAACAGAACTACGTAGTGGAAAGCCTTCCGAGTGACCAAACAAAATTTCATCAGTGTCCTAGATAAATGATACTATAGATTGGAAACTTGAACAGATTTCGTGGTCACTAACAGCGCTAACTGTTGACACTTTCTCCAACTTCTATTGCTTTCCTTGTCTAGAAATTATTGGTAATACAGTGAGTTAAATTAGCTGTAGCCGGTAAAAGATGCAAGCGCCATCTAGTTGTACGCTCTACAACTACAGGGTGTCTCACATTTTGATAGCAGGACTTCAGGAATCAGTAGAAGGCCTCATTTTGAATCTAAAAGTTCCTATATATATATGGGTCCTAAAACGCTTAGTTTCTGAGATACAGGGCGTTCAATTTTATTTTTGTTTTATTTATTTATTTTTTAACTAAATAACCGCTGACAAAAAAAATCATCATGTTGCGGCGAAAGACTTAGTATTTGAGGGCAAATAATTTGACACAGAAAATTATCGCATATTAGTTCCAGTGGTGGAGATAGAGGGGTCTCTATGCATATTTTTATAAAAAAAAGTATAGCCGATTTGATATTTTGCAAATGTTTTCGAAAAATATGAAAGAGCATTCAATTTTACCCAGAAAAGGCCCTCTTGTCCAAAGTCGATAGGAGGTGGCGTTTTCAAGAAAAACCGAAAATACTGTTTAGAAGTCAAATAATAATTTTTAAACATTGTGTTACAACTAAATTAAATATGTAGTTCAAAAATTCGGTTAAAATTGTTTTTAATTAATTAAATGAAAATAAATACAAAAATAAATAACGAAAACCATATTACATCAAAGCAAATGTTCGAAATGTAAACCATTTTCTTCGATACATAACTGACACCGACGCTGAATAGAACGTCTCATTTGAATTAAGTTATTGTCTCTGATTTCACTGCATGCGTTCCGAATCCGACGAATAAGTTCATCCCTTGTGTCCACAGTAGTGGTATAAACTCTCTCTTTAATAAAACCCCAGAGGAAAAAATCTAGGGGTGTCAGATCAGGGGATCGGGGAGGCCATGCAACGATACCCCCGCGGCCAATCCATTTTTCGGGAAAGTGGGTGTTCAACCAGTTCCTGACATTTCGGCCAAAATGAGCTGGACAGCCATCAAGTTGAAACCATGCTCGCATTCTTAAATTCAGAGGAATTTCCTCCCACATGTTGGCACTCTCGGTCTCTAAGAACTCTAAGAAATTCGCAGAATTCAGTCGTTGAGGTAAGATGTAAGGGC